TCTTTATTATAGTCTTCACACTGAGTAAATTGAAAATTCTTCCTAAGTATGACTGATGATGCACATTACTTGGCCCCAACATGGTGTGACAGTTTTTCCCGCGAAGAAAAGAGGATTATTTCGCGCGGTGAGGGAAACGGAACGTTTTCATATTACGCCTATTTATATTCATGCGCCCTTTATCGCCCAAGGAAAAGAAAGCTAAGAATCATAACCGTGTATACAGAGATACAATATTATTCACTTAGACGTTTTTGTTATTCGCGAAATACAATTTGGTAGGTAATGGAATCGTAATGTACTACTTAATTTACAGCTTTTTTATTGAATACAATATGAATAATGAAATAAATATACTCACGACTATAATCCTTAATGGAATGGGCGGATGAAACTAGTGGCATATTTATCGTGTCGACATTTCACCGAGCATATTAGAGTCCAATGTCACACGTTTAACCGAAATAATACGAAAATAAAATCTTTTTAATTACAAGCAGAAGTATAACTATTACTACTCGTAAGAGGACGGTGCTCTCTGATATCAAGAATTTCTAGGCTGCCCTCAGAAAAGTCTCACTTTTTCGCAATTAGTGCATTTAAAACAATAAAAATATCAGCAACCGAAAATTTTATATAGGTATATTTTTATACTAAAGCAAAATTCGTTATTCTTTATATATTATATAAAATATTTTTTATAAAGCAAATTATTTTATGATGACTTCCAAGTTGATATCTCCTGTACGTCTCTATTTTGAACTTGATCATCTCTTTCCTACATAATGGTCCTAATTATAATATTAACCACTCCTTTCTCTGCATCATAGGTTCAATCACTTGATATCCAGAATGTAACTAACTTAACCCACTTCTCCGAAAACATTCTAACTTTTTGCCTAGCTCACTTCTATTTCAGTTGTCTTTCTTCTTATATTTACTTACTTTTGCGACGAAATATTTTGATTTTTGATTAAAAACAAGCAACAATCAGCCAGGGAAAAAGCTGATGAATCATTAAAAAAGTTTAGACCTGTAGGCTTATTCCTTAGCGTTATACAAAAATATCTACCTATAGGACGACAATCGCATTTACATTGGTATTTTATCTTGATAAATATTAATTTATATGATATGCCATTGAACTGATTAAGTCAATTAAATGTGCAATTCTTATAGAAATGAATTTACATACTACGAGGTTTGTAAGCTTGTAAAAATGTGCCTACATCTTACTATAATATTTTAGTAAACAGAATATAAAGTGAACAGTTTATACTTACATAATTGTAAGTGGGTACTTCTAGACGCTGTAAAATCTACGGTTTTTGATTACAAAGACAAAGCTTGTTACCCAAGAGTCTCTAGAGCGTAAAGCATAAATGTATTGTGTCGACGATTTGGCGAGCCGAAATTAGTTTCCGTCTGTTATACTAAGGAGTTTATACAAGAATAACATGGCAGTGACTCGTCTAACTGCGACAAGATAAATAAATACAGAGCTATACTAAAAACAGTATAAAGCATAAGTGGAACAAGACAATACGGTAAATAAAAATATTAAGAATGTTATGAAATATCATATAACTACGAAAGATGTCAAATAATCTAATCTATTACGTCTTGTTACTAAAAAAAGAATACATACATACATATCTGCCACGCCTGTCTCTCATTAGGGAAGGCAGAATCAATGGTGATGATTCGATTCCAACTTTCGATTCTTCAACGTTCATCAATCTTTTCTTACACGCTCGCCTGTTACGGGTACTCTTAATTTGACCCTTTTTCAGCACATCGCCTATTTAGTTGACATATGTCTACCTAGAGCGGCCTCTACCGATATCTCCATTCATTCTTGCTTGATAAATCTCTTCCGTAATTCTTATTTCATCCACGCTCTCCAAATGACCAAACCAACGCAACAATCCCTTTTCGATTTTTGCCACTACATCGTTTTTCAGTCCATACTTCTTTCTAATCACACTATTTCTCACTATATCATTAAATGTAATACCATAATACATACTTCTCAGAGCTCTTATCTCTACAGCATTTATCTTACTTTCATGCTTCTTTTGCCATACCCATGATTCGCTTCCATACATGAGTGTTAACAATAATAATAGTGTAACATAATACAACAATGTGTACTAAATATATTGTTGTATTTTAATACATCGTTTCACTAATCTAAATCGAGTAAAATATGAAATTCTGTGATTTCATGGATCGTCAGGTATTCCATAAAATCGCTAGTTAGGTACTCTCATTTCCCTGTCTTCATTTCGTTTATTTATATATTTTTAAATCAGTTCACTTATATACGAGTAACAACTTGAACTACAAATAATGTGCAATCATTTATGTCGGCTTTTATCACATTTTATTGAGTTGGAAACTAGTTAGGTATACTCAAATTTAAAACGGGAATAACGCCAACATAAATACTTACACTAATTATAATTCAATTTTCGATTTAATAGACTACTTTTGATACGAGATTTTTATATACAAACCTTAGTGGTTTAAATGATACTGTTAAATCATGTACTTTTCTGTATTTTTTACAATAATAAAGTTAAAAAATCATACATTTTAGGAAATTAGGTGTTATTTTGCGAAAGTCTATATTTGTGATTAATTTATTAGGATTATTTTGTCCAATTCCGCTACTATTAGTATACATGTGTTAGATATTTATTGAAGTTATATTAATTTTCTTAAACATCTTGTGTTTTAATGTGTACCAACATTTATTAATAAAAATCAGACTAACTAAATATTCTAAAACGTTAAAATTATTATTATACCAAATTTGGTAATAAATTATTCTTGTAATGTATATAAAACATTAATTTATATTTAAATTAATTTTATAATTATTTATTGTCATAATACTTAAATAAAAAGTAATGAAATTGTAAGAACACGTGGTCTCGCTGACTTGTTCACTCGAATTCGGCCCTTTAGATATAAAAGATTGTTATTTGGGTTTGGTTGGAGACACTTCTTGTCCAACCGTTGAACAGAGCGGAGCTCCCTGACATATCAAGAGTAAACAAGTATAGTAAACCACGTGGTCATTATATAAAATATATCGCAATTATTGTTGATAGAAGTCCTAAAGAAGCTATAATTAAATAAATGTCAATGGATTAACAGAAGTTGGGTATTTATGTTATATTATTTGTTACATATCAAACAGAAAGTAAAATAAATAAATACATGATTTAATAGTATTATATCTAAATTAAATGAACTGTAAGTACTTGTGCTTCATTTCTATTTATCACTAAGAAGCTTACAACCTTTATATTGCTAAAGAATATATTATATCATATATACATATAAAGTTAGAATTACGTAATTTTTTATTATACAACTTAAAATGGCAAACAAGCTGACGGCCCACTTGATGGAAAGTGGTAACCGTCGCCTATAGACATGAGCAGTAGCATGGACATAACAGAGTATACTGTTTCGCCCATGATACCCCCATGCGTTGCCATTCCTTAGGACTTGGGTGTTATTCCTCTGTACCCTGTTAATTCAGACCATATCCCACCCTTCAAACCGAAACACAGTCATGCAAACGCAACTGCTTTACGATTGAAACACGAATGGGACAGAGGTATTCAAGCAAATGACTGCCAACATTTGAGGATTGACCGCTGTTATTATTAGTAGAAGTCCTAACTTAAATTTATATGTATACATACATATACCTACTAACGCATAAATTGCATACATTGCCTAATAAGTTTACCTTTTTCGTTAGCTTACAAAGGCAAGTAACATTGTCAAAAGGAAAAAGCAACGAGAACTGTGCTTTGCCAGTATTCATTAGTAATCGCCAAAAAGGTCAATATAGCTAAATTTTCTTTCAGACTCATTTTGTACTTATTAGCTACAAATCATGACTTTGCGTGACTTAGGTTAAACAGTGTCCTATAATTATTAAGTTAATCTACAATTTGATCCATTTGTATATCAAATTCCATTTTTACAAACTTTCTTACAAAAAATATACTAACATGTTCCACGACACATAAACGGTCGATAAAACATTAGGTACCTACTGAATAATAAATATTTAAACATCCAAGTGTCGTTACAAATAGTAAAATAATATTATATTTTTTTTAATTTTATAATAACGACTCTAGTCTTCAGAAATGGTAACATATAAAGTATCATGGGAACATATGATTTTTGTGATGTCTGAGATACTTTGATCATAAACGTAGTCAGGTTCCAGTTTTTACCATATAAATTGACAACTTGTTTATTATTACATAACATACGACATGTAGACCTTTATATCTTGCTTAACATCTTATTCATCATCATATCGGCCATTAACTGTCCACCGCTGAACACAGCCTTCTCTATTAGCGGAATTTTGCGAGTAGTTGCTACGCTCGGCACGCGGCTTGACAACCACAGTTAGGCTTTTGTGATGTTTTAAGAGGGATGCTGCTGCCCATCTCTCGACCACTCAATTCCCTTAGCCGCCTCTTACGACACCTACGGAAAAGGAAGGGGTCGCCTATTCCATGCTAGGATCATACGGCGGCATAAACGCCTTATTATCAATAATTAAATAATTTACTTTAGTTTATCGTCTAAGAACTCATTAAACAGTCAATAATAGATCAGTAGTCGATAAGACTCCCGTGTTAGTCCCATTTATTTAAATGTTGTAAGCGAAGAACTTGTTAGGGAGGAAATCTATATGTAAATATATAACATTTACAATGTAAAGCATCATACGAAACAATTGTACGATATCTCCGAAACCTCGTGTATTTTATTGGTACGTTTACAATGGATCTCTTTTTTTAGGAGAACAATATATAAAAAAATATACAATATACTTTTCATAGAAATAAATAAATAAATAGATAAGGGGTATCATCACAATACAATGCAACTCATTGGCAAGAAGAAACCGCAAGAAATCTTATTTTTCTACATAATAATTTCTTTTGTTCCAGTATCGACCGTGGACGTGGACGCGGTACTTGGCCGGACGGCGTCATTACCGTGTGACGTCACACCAGATACCAACGAAGACCGTGTCTATATGGTGCTATGGTTCAGGGCCGGGAAGGCCACCGGAGGAAAACCTATTTACAGGTAACTATTAATTCAAAACACCATTATTATATAAATACCATCACAGAAGTTAATAATAGTAAATACAGTTATTTTTTTTAGTTATTTGACTTTATCCACGTGCATCAATGTACAATGTACTAAAACTAAATATACTAAAACAGAATATAACCTACCTCTCTACTCCTACCTACTCTAAATTTTATAGAAATCCATTCAGCTGTTTAACCTGGTTTAATTAAATAATTAACATTCAAATATCTTTATAAACATACACATTTATAATATTAGCAGAACTATTAAAATAACCTCTTGGAAAGTATTTTGATAATTGTTTCTGTTTTATATCATTTTTATTTGCATTTTAATTACTATTTATATGCCAATATTTAATTACCAAATAAATTGTGCTTAGTTAAAATTCTTACTACATTTATTAACTCTCGAATAAATTATAATTTCATGCCCATTTTAAACGTCTTTTCAATCCCTAAATACAAAACTAGTAAAACAATATAAAATAAATAGGTATTAAAATATGTAGTAGTTTTTAATAAATTACCTATTTCCTTACTATTATTCATTGCAAACTGGAATTTCTACATTATTATGGATTATTATTTACACATATTAGTCCAATAAACCTTTTTACTCATAATTATTTTTACCTTATTACAAGTATTTATATTTATTTCTGTATATGTTCAAATAAATATCTTCATATTTCATATAACAACAATAATAATATTTATTGCCGTCTTTACATGTATTAATAAATACATAGTTAAATACCCGTATGTCTGGCAATAGGTCTATTTTATTATTATTATTTCCGCCATTACTGTTCACTGCTGGACATAAGCCTTCTCCATAATGGGAGCTTTGCCAATAGTTGTCACGCCTGGCATACGGGTAGGCAACCGCAATTAGGCTTTAGATGTTTTAAAGGAGGGCGCTGCCGCTCATCCCTCGCCCTCCCTTAGTCGCCTCTTAAGACGCCCATGGGAAAGGAAGGGGTGACCCATTCTATGCCGAGACACTCACGGTGGATAATTATATACATATATATACAATAGTTAATATTTCCTTCCAGGGCACGTAATAAACTAACAAATAATATATAAACTTTATTAATTAAGCATACACGTACGATCAGTATACAATGATTTTGCTTTGAAATATGTACCCACCTATCAATAATCTGGCTAGACCTGGCCTTTCAGTCTGTCATACATAAATACGGGACTTGACATATTTCCTTTGTTTGATAAATCCCGGCAATAGATTTGAACGCTGAATTTACATGAATAGCCATATCTATACAGGAATATACATGTATATGTAATATACAGAAATTACATAATATATTACTGGGATACATTTGTAACCATACCATTTTATCGTTATACTAATCTTTAGCTTTTTTACTGGGTATTTCTCCAAAATTAAAATAAGACAATTGTCCTTTTTTTTTTCATTATTTTGTATAAATACGTCTACAATATTTTTTTATCAATTTTTCTATCTTATCCTGATATAATTATTAATATATATTTATTTGACTCTATATTACACAAAAAACATAAAAATAAACAATGACATATGAACAATTTAAATGAAATACAGTAGCATAAAGTTCAGATTAAAATATATACATAAAGGTACAAAAACCCGGTCTTATCGCTAGGGCATTATCTTACATACAACCTTTGGTTAAAGGAGAACATATATATTAGATATCTGTCAAAAGTATCTCATTATTACCTATATTTTAAGAGTTTTTTTTTATGCTAGAAAAACGAAAACGAGATAATGGTAAAGGATTTTTTTTCCATACAGAAAATATTCTTTATTTGGACACTACACAAAGTCTGAATATGTATTGACAAGTTTCCAAGTTTAGACATATGAATTTTTAAGTTTTTAACGTTTTTACTTTTTTTAAAAATTCTTATACTTCGTATAATTATAATAACAAGAAATTATGAATCGGCAATCATATGTTGACTTAATCATTATTACTAAGTCATAATTCCGAACTTTTCTCAGTTGATGCAGGTGGCTCAGAACCTTATGGCAATCTATGGGAGAAACCTATGTTCAGCAGTGGACAGATATCAGCTGATATGATAACTATACACAAGAGACACCATAAATAATATGTATATACAGGGAGAGACTTTATATGAAAGCATACTGCAGAGCATGCTAGACTTCTTTCTGCCGTTAGACATTTGTACTCGCATGGCTGTGTTTCAGTCTGAAATTTTAAGGATGGAATATGGTAGTAAAATAACAGGGTACGGGGGTATAAAATGATCTTCAGCAATGGTAATATATGAAGGGATACCGCGGGTGAGTCATAGTATATTTTTGATGGCCTTGATACTGTTCATGACTATAAACGATGACTACCACTAAGCAACAGGTAGGCCAGAATTACTTGTGCTGTTTTTACTTTCATTAAAAAAAGAATTAGTAGAATAGAATAGAATAGAATAGAATTTTATTGCTAACTGTGTACATACATATAGCAGTAACCATTGCTTTGGATTTGACATCAGTATCAACAGTTATACCCTATCGGGCATGCAACGATTGAAGAACAGGTAATTATATTAATATCGAAACATTCAAATACTATTACCATTACTTGATTACAAATAAATATGAAATATTATACAATACAATTAACAAGACAAAGAATAATCATAACCAAATAAAAATAAAATAGACATACATGTCAATTATTATTAATTATTAATTTAATGACTTATGATATAATAATAACAATCCGAAGCAATAAAGAACATAGCATTAACAAAGAACCCTACCATACACATCCCCCATTAATAAGTTGTAACACTTATCTGCACTTAATTACAACGGGCAGTAGCCTGCAGCCGGAGATAAGCTGAGCTCAAGACATTAATCATTTGACAAATTTATGTGATTCCACCGAGAGATTTGTCTGTTTTGGATGAAGTACGGTGTTATGTATTGTAATATTGTGAAATTTATTTAACATATTGACAGTGAGTTACTATAAAGCTTGGTCATCTTTCCCTTTCATTTTAATGTGGATAAAAATGTATTGTTAAAAAATTCCAAATATAATATTAGTTTAAAAAGGATTAACCTAACCTTTGCAATGTTCGCCATTATGAAATTATCTTTACTAACATATTTTTGTTGCGATAGAGATTTGGATGACTTTTATAATACATATATTCGATATGTGAATTACGTTATTTCAAACTAAATTTCAATTATTGATCTATATAAAATAGTCTATACTTGAAATTGCTGCTATAGAATAACAGATATAAAAGTCTTTGTAAATATAATTTTTCCATTTACAACAGAAAATTTATTCAGTTTTCTGTTGTAAATGGGAAAATTACATAGGTTAGAATGGAAATGAAAGAAAGCAAATATTGCTTATTTATATTCGCATCATATTTATGTAAAATAATTATATATATTTTTAATAACTTAATAAAAATAATTCCTAAATATCAGATAGTTAAACTACAAACTTAAAAACTTTTATGTCCAGAAAGCCAAGAGGTCGTAAAATTCAAATTTTATTGTTGTTAATATCGAAATGGGGTTTGGCACGCTACCATAAATAGTTATTTCAAATTCTTGTGTGTTCTTTGTATGAGTTAAAGTTGTAACTAGGTACACATTATTTTATTACATATTAACTTTCACCGGCGTCTTTGTTCGTGTGACTGAGATCATAACGAATCTAGATCTTACTCTTTCCCATATAGTACATATATATCAAATTTCATAGTGGTTAGTTAAACTGTTAAAACGCTACAATGTAAAAAACAAAATCACTTTCACATGTACAATTTTAGTATTTATTTTTATATCAAACATTGATGTACTCCAAACTTTTTAACTTCAAGATTCATAATCGACTTTTTTTCCATTATAAGTTTATTTTTTCTTCTGGATCTTTGACTTTATTCTTTTTAAATTTGTGTATTTTTTTATAAAATACGTGTTATTATACTAAATTAAAATTCATATTAATTTACTTACTATTTTGTGTTTTTAAGTTTTGTGGAAGTATGTTTAATAGCTTAGGAACTGATATCCAAAGCTGAACCAACATAATGGACGCTTTTTAATTTCCCGTGACACAATACAACACGGCACGATTTTATCGACACAAAAATCACAATATAATATTTTTTTTCGAACATATGGTAATGACACAAATATGCAAAGAAATTTTAAAAATATTTCATGCATTTACATACGGTTTACTTTAGAAACGTATTGTGCTCTGTCATGCTAAGGTAAATTATAAAATTTTCTAAATAATAAATAGTAATTACAAAGCATAATTATAAAATCATACTTAATTTAAAAACAGACAGTCATTTTTGATAAGTCAAAAACAAAATTAATCAAATAATTCGAAAAGTTAGCGACAAATTTCGACCGCTTCTTTTTTGCATTATCGCTCCAACGTTTCGCTACCACTTTCCTCGTCTTAACGCATGTCTCTCGTGTCAAAAGAATCTTCTTTTTTATTTTTTCCTGACATTTGTATATACATATATCAGTGATAATCTGCACTCTAAAAAAAATACAATTTATAAACAAAAACTAAATGTTGCGATGTATATTCTTAAAGTCTAACATGACTTATGACAAAAAAATTAATTAAATAACGTTTATCAAGAAAAACATGTATGTAAATAGTATTGTATTATATTATATCATCGATGAACTGTCCACTGCTGTAAATAGCCTCCTCCATAAGGCAGTCTCGCAAGTAGTTGCCACACTTGGCAGACGGACTGTCAACCGCAGTTTAACTTTTGCGGATGTATTAAGAAGGACACTGCTGCCCATCCTTTGACCTTCAGCTCCCTTGGTCGCCTCTTACGACACCTACGGGAAAAGAAGGGGTGGCCTATTCTATGCCGGGATTTACACGTAATAAATGTACGAGAAAATCCAATCCATTATTGTTCATGAATAATTAAAGCACAATA